ACACACACACACACAACTTCTTTTACGCCCATCAACATCCAGATATTACTGGTTGTGTGCACACACACACACACACACACACACACACACACACACACACATACAAGTTTGTTCTTCAACCCCGTGGGGACTGTGCATTGACTTCCATTCATTTTTTTTACTTTTATAGCCTAACCCTGACCATTTATCTTAAAATTAACCTCACAGGTACCTGACCCTAAAACTAACCTAAACCTTGGTCCTAAACCTAACCCCCCACCTATAATTTGCATTTGGGCTCGTGGGGATCGGGTATTGGTCCCCACGAGTCCATATGCATGTGCATGTGCAATTTCAAAAATGCACATGAAACAGCACATAAAGCTAAAGGAATATTTGCATTGTTTTCAGTGAATAACACAGATAAACAGTTTTGAAGTATAACTTCTAACCATTCATACTCTGTCCCCACGATGCACTTCAGTCCCCACAAAGCTACTTTTTTGGGAAAAATTTTCCCCACGTTGTAGGAAAAACCCGTCCACACACACACACACACTTTGTTACTCTATCCTTGTGGGGACTTTCCATTGACTTCCATTCATTTACTGATCATTTCTATTGCCTAACCCTGACCCTTTACCCGAACACTAACCACTCCAGTACACACCTAACCCTAAGTTTAGCATAAACTTAATTCACACCTTGGTCCTAAACCTAACCCCTCCCCCCACCCCAAAACCAACTTCCAAACTCGTGGGGACCATGATTTTGGTCCCCACTGAGCATTTGGTCCCCGCGAGGATGCAATTTCCTGAAAAATCGTTCCCTCCTGGTAGCAAAAACATGGCCACGCAAACACACACACACACTTGCACACAAATATATTCACCTTCACATTTAATAAGACACCCATGGAGAAAGAGTAAAAGTTTCACTCTGTTTAAAGAGAGAAGGAAATGAATGTCTTGAATTGGTCAGCTGGAGGTGACAAATCTACTGACTATAACAATAAGGGTGGGGCGGTAAGGAGACCTAACATAAACAACAGCGACACTCTGAACTCTCGATATTGTCCCTGCAGCCCCTGGCAGTTTTGCTTTTATTCCATTACCGGTACTTTCAGAATGGTTTGGTGTTTAGTGGCTCAGTTGTCTAAATCTCCCTACCCTCATTCATTACAGCAGTAGCCAGCAGGTCTCACTATGCAGTTTGGCAAATGCATTTGAACTTTTGTTAGCCAGTGTCATTCTTTAGATTGCTGGCCATTGCTGTGGAAATGAAAATGTCAAAGGCTTGTGTAGTTTCTGTGTGAGTCACTGTGTGTCTCTCTTCTTGGCGGAGTTTGTGTCTGTTTGTGTTTGATGCCTGATTTTTTTCCTGCCTGCGCTTTTGAGTTTTTATGGTCAAATGGTAGCAGCCATGCCCTCCGGTGTTGTAGCTTATAGCCTTTGAATTGAACTTCAAAAGGAGAGGATAAAATAACTGAGTTCAGACAGGAAACAGAAACCCTTTATCTTAATTAGAAATAAAGCAATTAGATTGCACAAACCCTGTTGCCTTTGCACAAAAGCTTTGCACGCCTCTCACCTCCCACTGAGTGCTGGCTAGGACAGAACATTAAGTTCGTAAGGTATCTAAGAACACTAATGCAGGGTATTAAATGTCTGTGCTAGACTAAAAACAAAATGCTGCATTTATATGCATAATACAGTATAGTTTGATTATTAACTCCTGGCTTGAAGATTTACCTTATTTTCTGTGTTTTCCTTTGCAGACTGGTAAATTCTTGCACGGCATTTCAAGAATCTTTTTCACTTCTGTTTGCAGGAGGCAACAAACTAAGGAACCAGCAGTTTAGACTGAACTGGGCTTGGATTTCTTTGGAGACGGAACGCTATGTGGTGGACGAGGAGGTCAAGTTCCTGGAGGTTGTACTGAAACGCCGTGGTTACCTGGGGGAAACTTCGTTTGTTAGTAAGAAGACTTTTACTCAACCTGGTATTCCAAAAAAAGGAGTTTAAATTTAAAGTTGTGTTCCATTCATTCATTACATTTTATTTGAAAAAAAATTCAGTTTTCTCTCATTTTGAAACTAAAAATTCCTTCACTCTGAACAAACAAACCAACAAAGCCAATATTGTTTGGGAAGTCATTATATGGGTAGACAAGCTGGTTCTTTGAAATATCAAGGGACAAAAGTAAGGCTTGCCTCAACATTCAGTAGGGCCACACAGGTCACGACCTTTAACCTCTTTTCTCTGGCTAGTGTTTGGGTTCCAATCACCAATGATTGTGCTGGCACATGCGTAAGACACTCTGAAGTCAATGACCACTGAGATGCATTTTAATGTTGGATAAAAAAATTTAATTCAGAACTCAATGAAGCATAAATCTTTCCGTTTCAAAATTGAATGATGCAGTGTGACCAGTAGACTTTTTAAACTGGTGGTAAAGGTCAAATCACATGAGAGTATTTCCTGTAGGTTTGTGTTTTTATTTTTATGCACCTAGACGGCAGGAATATTGGGGCATCTTTAAGATAGCATCAGTCACACTGTACATGTGTTTGCTCCTTCAAGTGTACTCAGTCAAAAGATAACTTATGGCAGATTTCCCCAGTATGTCACTGAATTTATTTATTCATCACATCCATTCATAAATATAAAGAGTATGAACATCTAGTTTGTGTTTAGAGGCAAATAAAATAAAATAAAATAAAATAAAAACTCAACAAAATGCCAGGTAACTTCACAATGATCTCTCTGCAGGGTAATAGGGTTGGGCAATATGGGCAAAAAAAATTGTCACTATTATTTGTGGTATTTAGCCAATAATGATTAATTTTACGATTAATCCCTGGACACCCTCATGTCCTAGTCACATGACCAATTTAGTGGGAAAGATTTGCTCTCTGTAAAAATCTGTTCCCAATTGTGTCAAAATTACGGACTTCAGGCTATACATCAAATTTTAAATTGTGTTGAGAAACCAAGTAAGACCAGAGCTATGATAAATAAATTACAGAATTTTCTTTTTCTTCAAATGTTTGTCATATTAGAAGCGGAGTGGAGCATCAAGCGGACTGACCGGGGAAATCTCCAGTCAGTCTGCCTGGTGCTGTTAATCATATTAATGGTCGAGTGCCAAAAAACTTATCAATTAATGTTTTTGCTGACGATTAATTGCACACGATACGATAATACCCAACCCTATTAGTCAATAAGTAATACAATTTTTATTTGCTAGTCTATTGATTTTTTTTATTACTAGTTGCATATATCAATCGCAAACACAAAGGATCAAGTTATGGATGTGCAGGGATTAAGTCATTTTAGTTTCTGAAAATTTTGCCATCTTCTTAATAAGATACATTCAGCCGCAAATTGTTAAATCCAGTGTGTTTTGTCAAAGCCTTTATTGTACAAATAAATCTACCAACAGCTTTGTACAGTTTCTATTTCTGGACGTACAAGTGTTGAATCGTTTCATCAAACAGTTTTTTTTTATTACTTTTATGTGGCTACATGTTCGCACCCTCAAGCAATGACTTTTTGATCATACGCCACTTGGTTACCTTTTTGTCAGTCCTAATAAATCTTTTAGGAAATGATTAGTTTTTCATTCCGTGCAAAGGTAAACACAGACAGAACTAACCTAAAGATCGTGCAGAGACTTACTATAATTATATTATTTGTACCCATCATTTTTAGCATTCAACACAAGCATATTAAATTCTCTGGAAAACCACAGAACTTCACTTAGTTTTTAATTAAGAAATAGCCTTAGTAAAAATGATTTTGGCTCAAAACCTTCTGTTTTTTTAACCTATCATTGATTCTTGTACTTGTACAAGAACACGTCTTCATATTCCTCTAAACGAGAACACAACTTGTAACACATATCTGTCTCAGTAAAGTTGTATCTGTCTGTGACATTTTAAAGATCCTTCATGATTTTCTTACTCTGAGTTTTACGTTGAGGCTTCATTGAGGCTCGGAGATGAAAAGCAAAAAATCCCATTTGATTAACTCACATAAACTTTCCACTACAGCAAGATGAAATAGGTGATGAAATAAAAACTGATACCATATCAGTACATTTTAATGGGGCTTGGGGATATCTTTTATTGTCCAACCATGCCAGAGTGAAACCTTATCAGAGGATTCTCCCCCTCAGAGGGCTTTTGCCTCTCGTGTGAAGGTACAGAGTGAATGTGGCAGCGGTTTGGAGGTTAACAGTGAGCCCACCTGTCTTGAATCCTCAGAGTGGCTGCTGAGATCTGGGCCACTCAATTCAGCCACAGAATTCAGGCAAATTATTCTTTCTCTGTTCATAGCTGCTCTTTGAAGACTGCTGGTCTTTCAAGCCCATTTGAGTGCGACTGTTCTTATCTTGGCACAAATTTGCACGGACGTTTTTTTCTCTCTATCTGCACTTACATATCAAAGTCCACTTTTTTCATCAAAGAGATGAGTCTTAATATTAAACATATCCAACTCTTCATACCTCAAACTGCACATTATTGACGTGAATGCTCACTGTGTGAGATTTCAGCCCTTTTTATTCTTCATTTTTTTTCTATTTTGACCACCTAACTGCTTTATCTCGAGTTTTTGTTTTGTATGGCTGTGTCTCAGGACTGCTTTGGGGTGTGCAGCCCTGTTTGTTCTGCCCACTGCCAAAATCCTGATGCATTTTGTTTAACCAGTTAGCAAAGACAATGGAGAGGCTGTGTGACATTTCACTAGCTTCAGCGCTCCTGCTCAGTGTGAATACTGTCAGAATCACGGCAATGGTGACTGTGAGATTCATCAAACAGCTCCCTTGCTGAAGGTCAGATAGGGTATGTCTAACTCACAGCATTTCTGCCAACACCAGGCCGGTATGGATTTTATTTCCACCAAGTTTGTTTGAAACACTGGAAGTGAAAACTGCTGCTGTAAACAATGAGCAGACACTTCTACTTGTGTGTATTTTATGAGGCTTCAGATGTTAGAATAACAAAAATTGTTTCCTCCAAATCCTTTTCTAAGGCATTGGCACGAAAGATGGTTCTGCAAAAAAGGACAAAGACTTCCGTGGGAAATCTCAAAAACAGGTGCAGTTCAACCCCGGCCAGACCAGAGCCACCTGGAAGGTCCGGATCCTGTCAGACAGCGAGTACGAAGTGTCAGAGACATTTCAGATCGTCCTGTCTGAGCCGGTGATGGCAGCTCTTGAGTTTCCTGAAATCGCTACCGTGGAGATCCTGGACCCTGGTGATGGTCAGTGACTTTCTTCCCGAAACTTAAAATTCTACAATTTTGTCAAATTTAGTGAGGTTGAATAGTTTTTTTTGCAAAAATAAAACTAGAATAAACTTTGGTTTTGTGTTGCACATTTTAAAATTCTACGCTTAAGTTATTCTAAAGTGAGTCAAGGACAAAGAAAAGAGCTGGTAAGGTTTTTAGGTGTCTAACGTTACGTTATGCATATTTTGCACAGATGTCCAGAAATTTATACTTTATCTTGCATTGTAAGAGGATGGCAGTTATATTTTTAAGCAGTATCACATATTTAGCTTTTTAAATTAAGGTTCACAAAACAGGATTTAAAATAAAACATGAAAGACCGAAAAAGCATCATGCATTTATACAGAAACCAGGAAAAACTGTTAACTGAAACAGCATCAGTTTGTTTGTTTGTTTGTTTGTTTGTTTGTTTGTTTGTTTGTTTTCAAGGATAAAATAGTTTGGTTTAACAAATCTTCAGCCTTTATCAAAGTTATTGTTAGGTTTGGATTTATGGAAATTAATCTTTTATCTACCTCAGGGCATCAGAGCTTCGCAAATACAGTGTTTTTCTGGAAAGATAAGAAATCTGAATAAAAGTGAAAATACTGTGAACACAACCCGATTAAAAAGGTTGGTACGTAAACAATAAAAAGATAGATATTTTTTAAAGTGTCAACAATGGAGGTGTTGTCTTATCAAAGTTGTTTTGAGCAGTGTCAAAGAGATCTGGTATTAGCTGCAATAATGACTTTCATGTGAAACAGCTCAAATAAAAGAGAAAAAAAGCTGAGGAAAAAAGCCCAATAGAACGAAGATACTGAACAGCAAATATGAATCTCACAGGGTTTTACTAAGAAGAATGTGCCATAAACATTGTATGCTAATGAGTAGCTGATGCTTGTTTTTGAAAATGCTCATTCCTGAAGGACAAAAAAAAAACAAATAAATAAATAAAAATTGTCAGCTGCCACTTTTTGAGATATAAAATTTTATTTGGCTTTTTCATGCTTTAAGCAGAAAATGTCATTCTACAGCCAAGCCTATTATCATTTCATTCCACTGCTTATGGTTTTGTAAAGTTTAACATATTTTAGTCTTTCAAGGTCAAATAAACTCCGAAGGCTTATAAAAAATGTATGCTGTTGTTCTCTCTCTTCTGAAAACAGAAAAACTGAATAGCCCAAGGAAGCATTAGGATTGGGAGCAACTGAATGTTAGAAATAAGATATAGTCGCTTTAATGTCCTTTACATTCCAATGGCACATTATGCTCACTGGCCAACACTTTGTCAATGTGGCCATCCATGATTCTCACTGAGTGGAATACAAAACTGAAGTCTGAGCTCTGTGGATTTCATGGATGAAATGTTCCAAACTCATTACCTTTTTGAATGTCATTGAAAGCTAGAGGAGGAGACAAAGAGATGAAGAGCTGCCAGTGAAACATCTGAGGAGCAGATGAAATGATTCAACATTTCCCAGCAAAAAAAAAATAATAATAATAATAAAAAACTGAATTAAAATATCTTGTTCAAGCAGATTAATACAGGTTACTAGCAAAATGAGTGAAATAAAGATTCATGTTTTCATCTCTAAGAAAACTAAGCAGTTTTGTTTTGCATGTTAAAATTTTTAACGTCCGCTTGTATCATCTAACAAGTCAGAAATCTTTGTTCTTTATGCCGTGTAGTCCAATTATGGGTGTTACGTCTGCCTCAAATGGGTACTGAGCTGATGGTTAGGTCTGAGAAATGACAGAAGCACCAACAACACAACAGTAATGAGAACTGTCTTTAATCCCTGTGCAGTGCAAAAACTTGCAAAGAGATTTTTAAAAATATATTTTAAATATCTATTTTATATTCCAAAGCTTTTCTATAATTAGTGAGTTCTATATGCATGCCATAGGCACAACATCCCTGCACCAGAAGTCAGATTTAACTTTTTTTTCCTATATTACAGAATCCACAGTGTTTATACCATCAGCTGTGTACAACATAGAGGAGGACATCGGTGAGCTGCTTATTCCTGTTCGCAGGAGAGGAGATGTCAGTGAAGAGCTTATGGTTATATGCTACACACACCAAGGTATTATAATTTTCTTCAATGCGGGGTTAAATGTGCTAAGCTGTTTCTGAAGTTAGTTTTGTTGTGTCTTGTGGCTAATCTTCTTGACATTTCTTTTAATTGGCATCTAAAAAGCAAAAAACAAGCCCCTTTTTCGACATATCTGGAGTGGTCCTTATTTCTGATCTAATCTTGGGAGCTCAGAGTCACATAGTTACTTGCTCACATGACAAAAGCAGGTGAAGCTTGTAGCACATGCTGCAGTAATGAGTGTATTTAAGAAAAATAAAGAACATTTGCATTTTTGCCATTGTTCTTTTACCTGAACAGGAGAAAAAAATGTATTATTAAAACAGATTTATTTATAGAGAGAAAAAGATAGATGTGTTAAAAATATAAAATGCACTCTACAGAATAAAATGAATTATATGTTATTGTTGGGAAAGTTTTTAATATGAAGTTAATTTTCTGCCTTTGCAGTTTCGGCCACAGGCACTGTCCCCACTGCAGTGCTGTCCTACTCTGATTACATCTCCAGGCCTGAAGACCATCGCAGCATCCTGCGCTTTGACAAGGGAGAGATAGAGAAATCCTGTCGGATAGTGATAATTGATGATTCCTTGTACGAAGATGAGGAAAGCTTCAATGTCACCCTCAGCATGCCCATGGGGGGCCGCCTGGGCTCCGAGTTCCCCACAGCCAAAATCATAATCATTCCTGATATGGATGATGGTAAGATGGCATTTTACTGATTGTAAGTATGTATTCAAATGCAATCAGGCTAACAAATTACAGGCCTTTGATTGTTCTGAGACATTTTAGCATATTTTGTTTGATTTTTTTCACTTTCAGTTCTGATTTAAAACCTAGAAAATATCTATTTTTTACTACTAATTACTCTTTTTGTTCTTTATAGGCCTTTTTTCCACCAAATTAGAAATTTAAAAGTATTTAAACTCTCACTTTGACATCAAAAATCCAAAGAGTTTTGGAAAAGGTTAAAAAAAAACATTTTTGAATGAATGGTAATGTGTTTTGAATTTTTGCCATGTGGGTGTGTTTTTGCTTCAGTACCCATGACTCCGGTAGGAAAGATTTGTGTATGCAGCCCTACTTTTTGAAAGCAAAGAGTTTATCTCATATCTGCAGGCTCATGCAGGAGGGCTGATAGCCTCCCACATCTTCCTGATATCTCTTTGTTCCCCAACACCTGAGAGCCTGACTTCTCTATCACTCTGACAATCTCCATAAGCTCAGCTGCAAAGCCAGAACTCTATGTTTACGGGCAGGAAGTGGTGGAGCCTAAAAATCCATCATGATTTCTAAACTTTCATTTTGGATTGTTGTTTTTAAAATTCAACTGATAATTAATGAGACACTGAAGCATCTAGTCCTGAAAACTGTTCTCTGAAAGCAGAAAGTTAATTACTGGAAACTTATTGCAGCACTTTTATTTCCTCTGTATTATGATGTTCAACCTGGAAAGGATGGATTAGTTTTTTTTATATTTGCAATAGCCATGACATTTGCATCTATGACCTCAACATAATTTTAGCAAAACAAAAATATTGGCTCATTTATTTTTCCAACGATAAAAAATGTATAAACATTCCTTACGTCCTGATGCAACTCAGTAATACAGGTAGAAAAAAATCAAAAAGAAAAAAATAAGTAGTTCCTCTGGATGGGTTCTTCTTTAGTGAAACGTTTCATCTCTCCTCCAAGAGACTTCTTCCGTCTGATGAGTTTCAGGTGAACTCAGCCTTATAAGCACTGCCTCTACATGGTGGACAAACAGGTTAGTCACATGCAAAAGAGGGCCATCAAGTAACAATAGGCTTGATTGGCTCTATTGTTCATAGAGGGTCATGTGCCCCATCACCTGACCCGTGTCGTGTTATGTGAATCTAGTGAATGCAAGCGGGGGTTCAACATCCCCTTGTTTTTGTCCCCAAACAAATACACTTTTTTACACATACTCATACACAACGTGCCCTTGTTTTTGTGGGACAAAAAAGGGGGATGTTGAACCCCCGCTTGCATTCACTACATTCACATAACACGACACGTGTCAGATGATGGGGCACATGACCCTTTATGAACAATAGAGCCATTCAGGCTTATTGTTAGTCAATGGCCCTCTTTTGCATGTGACTAACCTGTTTGTCCACCATGTGGAGGCAGTGCTTATAAGGCTGAGTTCACCTGAAACTCATCAGACTGAAGAAGTCTCTTGGAGGAGAGACGAAACATTTCACTATAGAAGAACCCATCCAGAGGAACTACTTATTTTTTCTTTTTGAAACATTCCTTACATTTTTTTCCTCCATGTGGCTTGTAGCCAAATCTTTTCAGAGGCTTTTGAATGAGTTTATCAATTCTGTTTTATACACTTCAAATGTGCTCATTTAAGCAGCCTCAAAAAACAAGAGCTATGCATTTGAAAAGTCTGTAACCTGAGCGTCAACGGAAGACCTTTTGACCCCACACTCTTCCTGACTGCAGACTGCCTGGACAGCTGCTGAGACTCACCTGTCACTTCCTGCACCGTCCAGTCTTCTTTACAAAGAAATATGTTCCCATTGCTACTATTAAATTACATTCTCGTGGGTTTTGTTGAAGGGTCCGACTTTATCACTGTCAGTCATGGATGTCTTTGTAACCGCCATGTGTAATGGAGATATAATAGACTGTAGGTGTCTGACTGTCTTTTATTTTTTTCCAAAATGACAATGAAATCAAGTAAACTGATAAAGAAAGCAATAAGGTATAAGGAAGTCTTCCAAGACTTATGACCAGCTAACTTTAAGGTTTTACTTTGGAAATGAACTCAGATAAACAAAGCAGAAAATTAATGGTTATTGAAACTAAACTTCTGTTGCAGTAAAGTGTATTTTTACTGATGAATAGCTTTCAGGTTCATGCATTTATGTATGTTTAGAAAGCTGTAGAGGATAAATTCTTTGCTTCACAGACTCTATTGGTGTGGTATTGCACCGGCGCTGACTGTTTATTTGCCTGAGTAATCCTTTTTTATTAGCTAAAAGGTCAGTTCGTTTATGAGATAACTTAAAAAACATATTTACACTCAATTGATTTAAGCGCTCCTGTTACGTATTTACTCAGTGCTATCACTGATAAAAGGGTTTAAACTTTAAGGAATTAACTTGGCTCTGACTAACAGATGGCATTAATGGGGTTTTTTTTTACTCATTATTGAGTAGACTGTCAGAAACAAAGCCAACATTTTTGTTGAATTCTAACAGCTTTACAATCTCTGGAACTACTACTAACTCTTTATGATGATGACACCAGAGGCTGACATAAAATAGCAATAAGTATGTGGAAAATTGGCAATGCAAAAATGTCCGAAAGTGTGGCTTTAGATTTTAGCTCTGACTAGTGTGAGTATTCAAGGTCACAGTTGGGGAGTGGCCATATCTTTTCATTTTCATTCTTTCAGCAACAGATCAGATCAGCCCAGATTTATGAGTATTTTGCCTTGTCAAGGACCAACAACTTGTCCAGGATGCAGCCTCCCCCCTTCTCAGTCGTTGTCAGCTTCAATGACTCCAATCCCCCATAACCCTCGGACAGGGTGAAGTTGATATAGAAAATGGAATAATATTGTTGAAACATGAAGAGAAGGAAGAAATAAGACGATGTCAACCCTTCGTGTCTCCCCTAAAGGAGTTGATAATGAAAAAAGCTTGAGCACTGATGCTGAAGTAAATGGTAAACAGCTCTGAGGCAAGAAAAACAAGATTGATCTCCTGTCTGAAAGGGTGGAGAGGCAGCAGGAGATTCATTACCGCTTTTAGTTCAGCTGTTCTGGCTAAATCCAAGCGTGTAATCCAGGTTCTGGTCTCTAAATGCATGTACAGATCTAAGGCAAATGAGGGCAACACATCTTTCATTGTCATCGCTTCTTTAGAACGGCTTTCAAGTGTTGCACTTGCATGTGCAGAGACAGTCTGTGCCTGGCCAAGCACCTGGCCCTAAATGGGATGTCTGTATGCTGGAACTCCCCAGGAGGTTTTCTCAGCAGCTTTGTGGGGTTTCAACTCGAATAGTTTTAAAAAATCAAGAAAAAACATCCAATTTACCAAAGGTTTTTTTAACAAGACGCATAATAAAGCATTATACGTTGGATAAATAAAGTATAGAAACAGGTCAGCAATGTACGCATTTTTTTGCTGTATGCAAATACATAATTCACCCTTTTTAACATGCAAGAAAGCCAAGTAATAAGGGTTTGGATTTGCATTATTGCTTTTCTTCCTTACTAAACTGACTTGAACCACTTTTATAACTAACACCGGTGCTTTGGAGGAGAAGGTATGTTTTTTCTTTCCAACAAAACCATTCATTTCACTAATTATTATGCTAGATTATCCAGAAAAGAAAGTGTTCGGTATTTTCAACCTAGGGACTCAGAGAAAACACAACAACCCACCCGAACATAAAACAATTGACAACCAGAGACCAGTGAGATTTTAAAAATTCACTTTGCGCAAAGGGGAGAGGTTCAATTGTCCAACTTAACAGCAGTTGGGTACAAAGAAGCTCTGCCCTTAGTGGGCGTGATCTGTCTTTTATTAACACATGTAAATATTGCATCACAAGTAAAAC